TGATAAAGAACTTGCATCTAGAAAATATAAAGAATTCTCAAAACTCAATAATAAGGAAGCAATGAACCCAATAAAAAATGGGCAAAAAATATAAACAGAAACGTCAATAAAGAAGATATATGCGGGGCGCCTGGGTGGCTCAGTTGGTTAAGCGACTGCCTTCAGCTCAGGTCATGATCCCAGGGTCCTGGGATCGAGTCCCACATCGGGCTCCCTGCTCAGCGGGAAGCCTGCTTCTCCCTCTCCCACTCCCCCTGCTTGTGTTCCCTCTCTCGCTGTGTCTCTCTCTGTCAAATAAATAAATAAAATCTTTAAAAAAAAAAGAAGATATATGGATGGTAAATAAGCATATCATTAGTCATCAGAGAAATGCAAATTAAAAACACAATGAGATACCACTGCACCTCTAGCAGAATATCTATGGAAAGCCTGACCATACTAAGTGCTGACAAGTATGCACAACAAATGGAACCCTCATACACAACTTTTGGAACGTAAAACAGTACAACCCCTTCAAAACATGTATCTACCACACGATCCAGCCATTCCACTCCTAAATATTTACCCAGGGGGAAGGAAAGCAGATGTCTACACAAAGACTGTACATAATGTTCACAGGAGCTTTATTTTTAATAGCCAAAAACTGGAAAAAAGCCAGATGTCAATAAATGGGTGAATGGATGGATGAACTGGGGTATATCCATACAATGGAATACCATTCAGCAACAAAAAGGGATGAATCATTGATTTACACAACATGGATGAATCTCCAAATAATTATGCTAAGTGAAAGAAGCCAGACAAAAAAGACATTATGATTCCACTTCTATAAAATTCTAAAACTACAAACTAATCCATAGGGTCAGAGAGCTATCTTCGGTTGTCTAGGTAAAGAGGATGCAGGGTGTAAGGAGGGGCCAAAGGGAGAGATGGTTTCACAGGTCTTTATGTAAGTAAAAAAACCTACCAAATTTTACACTCTAAATATGTGCGGCTTTCCGTGTGTCAATTACACTCAACAGAGTCAATGTAAGAATTACCACACTAACACGTCAAGTGTAGACAGTTTACGATAACAATCAGAAAAGAACATAACCTGTGCAATTCAGTGAAGAATTATAGGCTTTAAACATAGGTGATTTTACACTATTCCAGACGTAATCTTTCATTTGGTAAAAGTAGGAGAGGAGGCATCTGACATGGGTCATTGGTAGATGTGAAAGCAAGCAGGAATAAAAAGTGAACACACAGTGAAGCCCTGAAGCATAGGCTGTTGCATTTAACTTTAACATTGTTTCTTAATTAAGATGTAGCCAATGTGAAATATTTCCTAATAATAAAAAAAGGGAAAATGATTTCATTTTTTTCAATTTGGCCTGTTCCACTCCCGGGCAGAACTAGGTCTTCCCCCTCCCACAGCCCGGAAGAATACATCTTTTCCAACATTGCCACATGTATACTGCAATGGCTCGTCCATCAGGATGGGGACTCTTGTCTTTTGACGCTGGCATAGTGGTCAAATATAAGTGTTTGGAAGCCAGAGAGCCTGGCTTCCTATCCTAGGCTCTGCCATTCACCTACCAGGTAGCCTCAGAAAACTACCTGATGCCCAGTTTTATAAACTATACAATGGGGCTAATAGGGTATAGCTGGGGATTCAATGTGAATTTATCTAAACCTTGGCCTACAAGGAAGGCCCTGCTTGATATTCCACCTGATGACCATTCCATCTTCACTTAGTTCTTCCCCTCCGGTTCACAGTGCTCAGGGACAACCACCCTCTCCCAGGTCCGGTAAAGCCACGCACTGCCAAGCTCTCTCCTGACTCAGTGCCGTTTCCCCTGCTGATCTTCTGCCATGCCTCTCTCCACCCCGCAACCTCCTGCCCCAACAACACGGCCAGCCCCTTTGCCTTCTCACTATGAACACAGGAGCCACTGGTCTCTGTTTCAGCCCCCTGGTGTCTCCTTCTTTCTACTCAACATCCACTCAACAAATAGTTCTTAAGGACCCACTGCACGTCAGGCACTGTTCCAGGTTCTGAGGATATCACAGTGACTTCAAGAGTACTGACGGAGTGCAATCTAGCGGCGGAAGACAGACCATTAACAAATGAGTGTTAGTTATGTGGTCATAAAGACCATGGAGACCTCGGCTCAGGTCATGATCCCAGGGTCCTGGGATCGAGTCCCGCATCGGGCTCCCTGCTCAGTGGGGAGCCTGCTTCTCCCTCTCCCTCTGCCTGCCGCTCCCCCTGCTTGTGCGCTCTCTCTGACAAATAAAATCTTTTAAAAAAAAAAAGTGCCATGGAGAAAAACAATAAATCGTGAACAAGGGAATGGGAGTTACAAGAGGGGTTGTGATATTTAAATCTGGGGTTTTGCCAAGGCTCACTGAGAACACAATATTGAGTAAGGAAGTGAAGGGGGTCAGGGAGGGAACCAGAAAGATACAGGGGCTGTGCAGGGGGCATTCCAAGCAGAAGAAACAGCAAGTCCAAAGGCATCTCAAACAGCAAGGAAACTAGTTTAGCTGTAGAAGTATGAGCAAGAAGCAGAGCAGCAGATAAGATCAAAAAGGTGAAGGACTGGGGAATGAGGAGGACCAGATGGGGTAAACTCTGGGGGCCAGTCAGGTCTGCCTTTCACTCACACGGAGATGGGAAGCCACTGAAGGATTTTAAACAGGGAAGTGTGTGATCTGATTGACATTTTCAAATCTGCAACTAGTTTGCTAATGTTTTTCATGTTCTGTGGATCTTCCCCAGCTCTCCCCCACTACCGGCAGGAACCACAGCAGTCCCGTGCACTGTTAGAACCCCAGCACCTAGCACAATACATTGTAGGCACTCAATAAATATTTATTAGATAAATGTGGTAATCTATGCAAAGCATTTACTGGTACAAAATAAGCACTCCATAAATGGTAACTATTATTATTTGGAACCCCAGATTTCAGCACAGTGGCTGACATACGGTAAGAGCTTATTTGAGTAAATGAATCAATAATTTTGTGAAATTATTAAAAACCTATATTAAAAACATATGAGTCATGACAAATTACTCAACTGCTTTCCACTCTTACCCTTACTTATTAAGACATGGCTGATTCCATTTTTGAGCTTTACTCTAAACTCTATTAAGCTACTGAGGGCACTACCTAGAATAACCCCATTGTGATTCAGTTCTCTAAACATACTGCAATACCCTGCAAACAAACTAGCACTAATGCACTGAAATGCTTGTAAAGTTTCTAATTGGGTAAACCTATTCACATGATTTTTTTTAAAGCAATCTTAACGGACGAGGCTAAGCTGACCAAACTGGTTTGATTTTTATTTTTGTTGAATTCAAATAAAGTTCAGTTGACTCAAACATGTGAACAAAGAACTAAGAATTTCCACTTTTTACTTATTTTGACCTCTCCAGAGTCTTCACACAAAAAAACTTAATGAGGATTACACCTGCTCCCTTCTCCCTCGTGGTGCATTGGGGGTAGGGGGCGTAATGGCGGGCTAAGGCCGTTTAGTAATTATCTCGGGAAAAGCCCTTGAAAGTCCCAACAGTTTTCCAGAAAGAAAACTAAAAAAGGAGTCATGCATTAAAGTACAAAAACACGCCAAATATTCCATCTCATAAAAGGTGAACACGCTCTCCTGGCGATATTTACAAGGTCTCAATGGCAGGGACCCAAGGGGTGAAGGGCCAGGTATGGTTCAGATGTTCATTGTAACCCCCAACCCTAAAAGTAGCCGAACCCATCTGAGCGACCACATAATAACTTCAAGGAGGGCTTCGGAGCTAGGAAAACTTTCAAAAAAAGCAGATGAAAGTTGCTTGAAATCAAACAAACTTTAAAAAAGAAAACAAGCGATGCCCAAGTGTTGAGCGGCTACAAAGAAACACCCTCGGTTGGGCTCCGACTTGCTGGTGCTTGTACACAATCGAGCCTGCTGGCATCCAGCTCAGACGCTCCCTTCCACTAGGGGAGGGGGAAATAATAACTTTCGGAAATAACAAGCGTCCACAAAGGCAAATGTTACACAGGACTCCTCAAGCTCCATCTAATAAGATGGCTCACGTTGTTTCGAGCAGCACTGATTACACACAAGTCCCCCACCCCCCGCTTTTTTTTAACAGAAAAAAATAACCTAAGGAGGAGAAGGTGCTACCGTCAGACCCTCAAGGCAATTTCAGACAACAAAGACTCCAAGCAATCAAAATGGAATTATAATCCGAGCCGTCCGAGAGGCCCCCGGCGCGGGGGCGCTTAGCTGCCGCGCCCGCCGCTGTTCCTCGAGCGCTGGGGCCCCCGGGCCCCCGCGCCCTGTCCAGCCCCGGTGCGCCCGGGCCCGCGGGTTCCCGGGGACGCGGGGCGAGCGTCGCGCCGCCCACGATTTGGCCATCTCTGCGCCGCGGCTCCCCGCGTTCCAGCTCACGCGGGGTTCAAAATCTTTCCCGCCCAGGCGTGACGCGAGGAACGAAAACAATCAGCGGATCCGGAGTGCTGGGGCCTGGGCCCGACGGGGGCGGCACGGGGATCAGGGCCGAGCCCCCCGCGCAGCCCCTTTCTGAGCCGGGAGGACCGGCGGGCTGGGGCCCGGAGGTGACACAAAGAAGCCGGAGAGACAAACGCCACCCGCTGGCGCTCGCTCCAATCCCCGGAGCGCCCCGCCCGCTGACAAGTTTGCGGCGCCCTCCACGCACCCCGCTCGCCCCACCCGGGCAAAGTTTCCGGTAACCGGGCTCGGACCCCGGCATCGGGTCGGTTCTCGCGCCTACCGCCCCCACCCCACCCCCCCCCGTCCCGGGCTCGGGGACCTTTCCCTCCCTCGCCCCCGCCCCTTCCCCTCCCTCCCTCCCGCTCTCCCTCCCCGCCTCAGCCCGCTCTCTCCGGGGCGCACCGGGGCGCTGGGGGCCCGCGACCGCCCTCACCCGCTGCTGGCCCGGCAAGGGGCAAGGGCGCGGGCTGGGGCTGGCCCAGGTCGGCGCCCCACTTGCCTTGCTCCCACGATCGCGCCCTTTGCTTGTTCTCCCGCTCGCTTTTTCGGGCCAGCCGAAGGCTCGGGACGCAGCAGAGCGCGCTCCGCTCCTTGGCGCTCGGAAAGCTGCAAACCACGCCCCGCGCCTTCCCCGCCCGCCGCCTGCCTCTGAGTCCCGCGCTCGCCGCTCCGCGGCCAGTGTCGAGCCCGCCCGCGAGCGCCGGAGGCGGAGCCGCCCGCCTCCCCCCGCAGGGCCCGCGGCCGCCCTGGTCTGGCAACTTTCTTTCCGTGTTTTGGGACGTCAGAGATGGTCTGAGGGAGATGCTAACTCCAAGCAGGTTAACGCCCGGGGGTAGGAAGAATGTCACAAACTCCCTCAAAAAAGCTTTTCTGCCCGATTTCATCAAGGAACTTCTCTAACCTTCCTGGACTCCTGGGTTTTGGAGATGGGAGTAAGAGAGACGATGTGCAAATTAGCTACCAAACCTTGCTCAAGTCATCTAACCTTTGTGGACCCTTTGTAAAATGAGGATTTGGGATTAGATGGCCTTTAAGATCTTGGTCAGTATTTCTTAATAGCGTGGTCCAGACTTCAGGATTACCTGGAGGGAAGGCGAGGCCCTTGTTAAAATGCAGAATACTGGGTCCTTGCCTCCCCCTGCACAAGAACGGCCTCAGTCTTATGACACCGTATGCATCTTCCAGATCTGAAACTCACTGGAAGCTGGATCCTTGGGAATCCATCCTGCAGGTGCCATTTAGATATACCAACAAATTACTCAATGCCCTTGGACTCAGGATGATGTCAGTTGACTCCCACTTACCTCCTGTACAGCTATGGCAGCATTACTAAGGCACTGGAAGTCCTGAATGAAAGTTATTGTATGAACTCACTCTTACATAAATAAGTGATTTTAAAATATTTATTGTGTTTGTATTGCAATCAAATTAAACTGCTTATAAATCCGAGTTCATATATATTGTATGGCTACAGAATCTTGTCTGCATTACTTAGTTAAACTTGGTGGTTATGATCCAAACCAAATGGTAAGTAGCAGACATTAGAGTTTTGATAATGCATTCAGTTAACACATATTGATGAAAAAAAATTCATTGTAAATTTTACCCACAGTTTGGGACAATTATTTCAAAAACTTGTACTTCTGTGAGTACCAGATGATTCAGTTATTTGACATGCACATTTTATTGATGGTCAATAGCTCAACTCAACAAAACAACAACAAAAACTCAATTGGCACAGTGCCAATCTTTGTGCCATTCCTTGTAATCCAAGATAATCATTCTGATAGTATCACTTCTCTTCTTAGACTACCCAGGTTTGCATTATTTATTATTAATGGCATGGGTCACAACAAAGGTGTATAAAGCACGAAGGACCTTCTGGTCCTACGGTGTCTTTTCATAGAACCATTTTGCCGGGTACAATACATACAAAGAGCCAATTTCAGGAAAGTCTGGACTCTAGGGTTTATGGAGCTGTCTACAAAGCATTGTCTGTTATTTTCTTTCCCTGTTCTATTCATGCTATTCATTTCCATTTTACACTGGTTGCTTCCTTTAGAGTAAATGCTGCAAAATCATCATGGCAACAGTCTCTGGAGAAAATACTATGAATCATTTCTTATTGTTCCCTTCTAGGCATCTATGTTACAAGTCCTCAAAGTGAAAGGACTATTGTTCCATATTATATCTAGTGCACTTAAGAGAGTCCAGAATAAAGTGTCTCAAAATGTTTGCAGATGTCCCCAGTTAGAGTCTTTTAATGATCTATGGTGTCTCCTAGCCATGCCTGTTTGGATATAAAAGTAAAATCTACTTTTAAATCAGCAAATTAGACTAATGATGGGAGCACTGAAACAGATCCTCCGTACTTTGAAATGAAAATAAAATGTGATGCCAAGCCAAACAGAGACACACCCAGTTCTTTTGAAACACAACACTGAGCATGTGAACGGAAGGTTCATATGCTTACATCTCTGACTTGCAGAGTCAGAGTTGCCATGAACCCAGCCCTGCCCACATTCTCCCATGCACCAAAAAACAGAGATAGTACAATAACAGAGTATATGATGTCATGTGATGCCTCTTAGCTATTATTTACATCCAGCATCTGTATTTATAGCAGAAGCTCCCATTCGGCTCAACAGCCCACCTGAGAGACTTTACCAGTTCCAGTTGTGTTAAACAGAAGTTTTGCAAATTGATCCAACTGAAAACACATCTATGACTTGGTACACAAGCATGCTGTGGCATATGGTGAGAACTACCAAAGCGACATTCAATACATACCGGCACGTTGTACTGAGCAGGGCAAATAGCATAGTCTGAGGCATTCAAGCAAGTTGGACATCCTCACGCCATTAAAGGAATTAAATTCACCACTCTTAAAGTTAGGCAGCAGCTCCTCTCTGTCGCACCACGGATTTCTCTGAACTAGAGATGTTGTTTACATTCCTGTGTACCACACTGGGCTGCCCAGTTCCTTGTCTTTGCATCCAGAGTGCCTAAATAAGAATGGCAATGGATTTTATAGTGGGAGCAAATCCTAGTCTTGTTACTTGGGTGTCATGTTGAGAAGTTTGGCAAGAAAGGATACAAATTGAAGAGTAACTGAGTCTCTACCAGGGGCACAGAAGGAAGAAGAATTGACACTAGTATCATATATTTATCAACCTTGATGGTGATAGAAGATATTAATGTTACATGATTGACCAAATGGGTAAGTGAGTTTAAGAACAACACAAAGTATCTTGAGCTGAAGGGGCAGGAATTATGTTAATTAATCTGAGGCAGGGTGAAACCATCTTACTACTTGCTTCTATTTTATCAACAGCGTTACTATTAAAGACAAAAGGAGATTGGCTTAGAGCTAACCATTCCTTGTGAGGATGCTAAATTGGCTGATCTCAAGGAACAGTCTTTCGCCACAATATTTTTTAACATTGGGAGCACTGGTATGAGCCGGGGATGAAAATAGCTGGCCAGGAAAACAGCTCTGTTCCTCTTTGTCCAAGATTCCAATCACACCCTGTAAAGGTCTGAGCTCCTTATCTCATTCTGGTCTTGTTTCCTGCCAAACCTGGAAACTAACAGAAATAAATGTTGCCTAATTGCTCCCTTGTCCAGTGTGATTTCTCTGACCGTTGTCCTGATTCAAGTAAAAAGTTGGGTCCGACAACATGCAGTGTCCGCTGTCAATTTATGCAGTGGATGGTCTCCTTAAAATACTGAGCCAATCAATCAGGTGTCTGCCAATTGAGTCAGAGAGGCAACATTCTAGGGTTTGATGAAAAACTAAAACAAATATGCCTCAATTCAGTGAAAACATATATGTAAAGTGCTATGCATGGAACCTGGCAGGCAGGAAGCACTTAACAAATAATCGCTGTTATTGCAATAATTTCAGTCAGTAACAACAAGTATTATTTCAAAAGCGCTTTTATTGTATTGATATAGTATTGGATTAAAAAATATATCCCATAACTCACCTCATTTTACAAAGAAGACAGACAAGCCTAAGAATAAAATATTTGCCTAATGACATAAAACTAGTATAGGCAGTCCCTGGATTAGAACCTAGAGAAGTTTTTAGCAGAAATAAATGTATCATTTAGAGGAATCCTGTTGTATATCTTGTTTGTCTTACTCTCAAATGCAAAACATTGAATTAATCATACTGCTCAGTTTACAATAAAATACAATAAAAATAAGAGACATCAGCATCTCGCTCAAGCCAATGAAGGTCTAATGGATCAAATTAGAGATATAAAAAAATCTAACATAATAAAGTAGGTCTCATGGATATATTCAAATTTACACCTCAAAAATAGGGAGTATTCTTTCCTCCCAAACACATATGGACTTGGTCATGAAAATTGACTTTGTACTGTGTCACTTCTCCAAAACAGAACTAGAAATAATGCAAATAGTATTTTAATTAAACAATAATAGTAATAAACATATAATAATACTAAAAATTGATAACAAAATCAGAAAACAAGCAATCTTTTCCACCTAAAAATTTTGAAGTGTACTATTAAAGAAGTATTGGATGAAATGAAAACTAGTATACAAATTGAATTTCATAATTTCTTTTTTTTTTTTTAGAAAAGTTACTTCTTTTTTTTTTTCTTTTAAGATTTCATTTATTTATTTGAGAGAGAGAATGAGAGACAGAGAGCACGAGAGGGAGGAGGGTCAGAGGGAGAAGCAGACCCCCCGCCGAGCAGGGAGCCCGATGCGGGACTCGATCCTGGGACTCCAGGATCACGACCTGAGCCGAAGGCAGTCGCTTAACCGACTGAGCCACCCAGGCGCCCCTGAATTTCATAATTTCTAAAAACAAAAAAATATAATAGAAACAATATACATCAGAATCTATAAAAAAACAAATCAGTGATTAGGGGAAAATTTGCAGCCTTCAAATATTTATATAATGAAAACAAAAGAATAATTATAAATGAATTCTATTTCTAACTCAAAAAGCTATACCAAGGACACCTGCGTGGCTCAGTCGGTTAAGCATCTGCCTTTGGCTCAGGTTGTAATTCCGGGGTCCTGGGATCAAGTCCTGTTTTGGGCTCCTTGCTCAGCGGGGGAGCCTGCTTCTCCCTCTGCCTGCAGCTCCCCCTGCTTGTGCTCTTTCTCTCTCTCCCTGACAAATAAATGAATAAAATCTTTTTTAAAAATATTGTAAAAAAAAAAAAACTATACCAAAGAAAAGTAGGAGGAAGAAAATAAAGATTAAAAACAGAAATCAATGCGGTTGAATACAGAGAACCAATAGACTAATAAATAAATCAACCTACTGACTATTTGAAAAAAAAAAGATTTTAATGACAGACCACTAATAAACCTAATCCAGAAAGAAAGCATAAACTTTCAAAATAAGAAACAATAAGAGAGAGAGTCATTAAAACAGAAAGTGACATGGTATTATGTAATTATTGTCATAGTATTAGACTGCAATATGCCAAAATTAATCCCACTAAATATAGAAAGCCTGGACAAACCAATTTTATTAGAAGAAATAAAGAAGGATATCCAATAACTATCCACACGAAAAAGTACCAGGCTCAGATGGTTTCACAAAGAAATTCTAAATCCCT